AATATCTAACTCTATACAAAATCTTTCAGATTTTGCTAAATATTTTATCTCACTGTTGTCATTAACGCAAAATATAATATTTGTTACTTTGCAATTAATACTGAGTAATTTGTCAGTCATAAAGTAGTGAATATTTCTATAAAATTTATTAATTTGACAAAAAATATACGAAATCACTATTCCTTTGTATGTTATTATACCATATATTTTGTTTATTATCATATAATAATTTGATCAAATAAATTGAAACGTCAATACATGACGCTAACTCACAGAGTGGTTGATGACAAATCAATTAATTTGACAGTTGACAGTTACGAAACGTCAATTCATTACACATACTGTTATTATAAACACAATTAGAATGAAAGTAAAGAATATATACCTTTTATATTCAAAATATATTGGTTAAACAGGTAATTAAAATGACAGTTAATAAATTGATTAATTTGACAGTTGACAGCTACGAAACATCAATATTAGAATCAAAGTATTGAATATAAAGAATATATACCTTGTTCATGTAACATATATTGAGTAAATTGAATTGACAGTTGATAAATCAATTAATTTGACAGTTGACAGCTACGAAACGTCAATACACTACTCTTAGTATTAATATAAACACAATTATAATCAGAGTATTCAATATATAGTATATAGAACTTTTATATTCAAAATATGTTAGGTAAACAGGTCATCGAATTGACAGTTGACAAATTCATTAATTTGACAATTGACAGCTACGAAACGTTAATACATTACACTTACTATTATTATAAACACAATTAGAATCAAAGTATTCAATATATAGTATATAGACCTTTTATATTCAAAATATGTTGGATAAACAAGTCATCAAATAGACAGTTGATAAATTAATTAATTTGACAGTTGAAATCAATATATTACACTTACTATTATTATAAATACTTTTAGAATGAAAGTATTCAATATTATAGCTATAACTTTTATTTTCCACTTATTGGTTGGTTAAACAGATAATTACATTGACAGTTGACAAATCAATGAATTTGACAGTTGACAGTGTTATGGATGATCAATCAATTAATTTAATTGTCAAACTGATAATGTGATGAAATTGACAGTTGACAACTACGAAACGTCAATGACGTCAATAACGAACGTTCACAAAATCATTATATCGAATTTTGTTTCATCGAAAACGTGAACATCCTCTGTGTTTGTATTTTTTTTGTTCGTCGTATGGTGACAATCTCGTTATCAGCTCGTTCGCATTGTATTTGTTGATATTTTTATTAAACAATTAATTACGGATTAGTAGATAAAACGGCGAAAGACATATGTTTGGTTTCTGGATGAATGTAATAAAAAATGGATTTCCGTCACGGTTCGCCTGTCATACGCGTTATGGTGAGACGCAGCGACGCATATGCATATGTGTTCGTAGCACGGAGGATACGAGCGTCGCGACGCCCTCCGCATCGATGCTACAACACTGTAAGCTATACTATATATGGATGTGTGTTATATATACGTGCGTTTATATGTACATAAACTTAAATATATGTGTGTGTGTTATATACTATATCTGTAATGTAACGGCTGCGATAAAATATAAAAATATATCAAACAAGAAAAAAAAATGTTGATACTTTGGATGTGCTCCTCATCGACCACTTTCAGGTATTGCTGATACTGCGCTACCGTCTGTGGCAAAAAAAATATATTTTTTTTCAACAATTTTTTTTTTGTCAAAAAACTTACATTTCTTTACAAGTTTTTGTAAAATAATTAACGTAATCAAATCTAAATCAACATTAATCTGCAAAGAATTGGTCAAATTCATTGTTTTAATTAAATTAGTAACTAAAAACAGGTAAATTGATTTTTTTCTGTGCAAAAACATGCTCAAAATTTAATATTTATTTGACAAATTTTACTAAAAACATGCATTAAGTTTTTTTTCTTACATAATTATTACGATACTTTGGAAGTCGACCACTTTTAGGTATTGCAGATACAGCGCTACCGTTTGTGGACAAAAAAAAAAATATAATTTTTTTCAACAGAACTTTTCTTTTTGTCAAAAAAACTTACATTTCTTTACAAGTTTTTGTAATTAATTAATGTAATCAAATCTAAATCAACAATATACTGCAAAAAATTGGTCAAATTCATTGTTTTAATTAAATTAATAAATAAAAACAGGTGAATGAAATTTTTGAAATTTGACGAATTTTACTAAAAAAACATGCATTAAGTTTTTTTTTCCATACATAATTATTACGTACTTATTTTATCGTAAAGTATATTTTATTATCAAAGCGACGAAAAATTTAATGATTTGTTCTATTTTTGTAATATTAAAAAAAATGGGTCATTTTGACCTAGTTGTAGTTGTGTTATATTTCACAAAAATAATTAATAATTTCATTGTCAAATAAATATTGATTACTTAATTAATCAATAAATCAATAAAACCAATAATTAATTATAAATCTACATATAACAATGATTTGTTAGTTCATTCCAAAAACCAAATATTGTTATGCTGATAAGTTATCTAATAGTTATTTTTTATTGTATTATATAAATATACATTTATTGTTGTTTTTGTTTATATTATTTATCATGATTGCAGCTCAACTATGACCGACTCCAACGAAATCAATCTATAAAAAGAACAAAACATACGTTTACTGATTTGATTCGCACAAAATTTTCGTTTTGCCAAATAGTTTTAATTAAAGAGGCGTTACGATTTCGAGTGCAAATACTCACGTGAAATGCACACGATTTAATTATTGCGATAAAACGATCGCATGTTTGACATTGACGGTGCGAAATGAAAGGACTAAAGGATAAATGAAGGACCATCACGTACGAAACGTCGCATGCAAAGGAAGTCGTGTTTGTTTCGGGCTCGAAAGTTAATTGAGGATTCTTTTTTTCGTTTCGTAATGCCTTGATTTTCTGTTATTGCAGGTTTTGATCGTGATCTGCAAATTGGACGAACTCATGACATTCGATTAAAACACTTTATGAAATGATTAACAAATAAAAAAAAAAACGAAACGTGAAATGGAAGAGTTGCATGTTTGAAATTTAGACAAAGTTTAGTTCTTAGTTTAGACAAGAGATGGCGTATCGTAGATATATTGATATTTTTAATATTTTTCTATAATTCCATAATTAAATAAGAAAAAAGACACGTTTTACGAATAAATTATGTAATATTTTTTTATTTACATTTTATTCAAATCAGAGAAATTTGGATGTGGCGGCAAATTTGAAATTACATTTATTTTATAAGTTGTAATACCTTATGTATAACATAATAAATTACAGGTAAAATACATTAGATTTAATAATTAAACTAAATATTACTTTAATAACGAACATATTATAACATTTTGCTAATTGACTAATTATTCAACGAGATTTTTGTATATTTTATTCGCATAATGGAAATTTGGAAATGGCGGGAATTTTGAAATTATTTTTTTTGTAAGCCCCAGTGGCCTAATGGATAAGGCATCGGCCTCCTAAGCCGGGGATTGTGGGTTCGAGTCCCATCTGGGGTACATTTACATTTTGGTTAACAATTCAACAACTAATTCAGCACTGAAATGTTGAAAGTTTTAATACAAATCCATATTTTAGCATATAGTATACACGTTATACTTGACAAGTACTTTACTAGTTATTTGGTAACTATAAAGTTTAACGTACAATTATTTTACAAGTGATAGATCCAAAATTTCCTTGAAGAACATGCTTTATACTTGACAAGTACTTTATAGAGTACATTTTTTTTAAAACTGATAATTAGATGATGATGGTTATTTGTATATGCATTTTATTTGACAAGTACTTTATCAGTTACTTGGTAAATATTGCGCAAAGTTTATAAAAGTGATAATATCGAAAATTTCATCTTGAAAAGATAGAGGTTATTTTCATGTAGTAGTAGATTGTTTACATACTTGACAAGTACTTTATAAGTTACTTTCTAAATATTGCAAAATTAATATAAGTACAATTATTTGAAAAGTGATCAAAATTTTTATATTTTCTTGAGAAGTTGGATGTAGTTTGTACGTACTACATATGTCATACTTGACAAGTACTTTAACAGTTACTTGATAAATTTAAAATAAAGTTTAGAGTACTTTTTTAAGTGATAAATCGGAAAATGGCTGTTATTCGCATGTAATAATATATACTTGACAAGTACGTGTAAGATTTAGTTTCCAAATTTTATTAAATTAACGTTTTACATTAAAGCAATCTTTCTAAAAACTTGTTTATCGTTCAACTGAGTGATGCAGTGCATTCCGGAATTAATGTTTTCGAGTATACAAACTTGTGTAGCTATTAAAACCTCGACTCGATGTAGTGTAATATAAAGGGCTTGCAGCATCATCGTCGTCTAGGATTGTCTAGCCAAGAAGTAGGTTTTACGAATGCGTAAATAGTTAACTAACTAGGACATATGGAGTGAAGAGAGAGGAGAGGAAGTGACGATGATGAGGCACGATCATTACTTATACAGGGCTTCAAACTCCCTCTCTCTCTCTCTCTACATCTACTATCTATCACACCGCATCCTTTTTAATTACATTAACACGCTGCGAGCGAGCATTTGCATCCATCCATCTATCCGACGATTAATCACCCTCCACTTCTCCAATTCTAACACCCCTTCCAAAACACGCTTGATCTGCTTAATGAATACAGTATGCTCATTTCTAGCACTACACATTCATCATCTACATCATCATCATCACAGAGATAACAACAACAAATAAAATGCATCCATCAATTTCATGCATATCCAACGTAAATATACAAATTAAATGATTACCACAAAACAAAGTAGTTTGATGAAACGACTTTTTAATTACTGTTACAATTAACCTTTTGTATTAACTTACAATAAGAATCAAACTTTTAAAATACAATACTTTTAACTTCACTTATCATTTGTTTCATACTTTTAATATACTACATACTTTTATAGCGTATTTCGGTGAACCAAGGGGCGCATCTGCAGAACTAACGTCAAATCGTTTACGGTTTTGTCTGAAAAAGAGAAGTGGAGCCTCGTTTAGAACTAGGATTTGATGGCCTTTCATGCATAAGCAAAGTATCCTGTGTAACACACCATTGTTACAATTTTAAGTCATCTTTTACTTCACTCTTTTAACTCATTTTTTCTTTTGAACTTTTCAAGCACTCTTTACTTCATACTTTATTATAAACTTTTAACTAATACTTTATTTCATACATTTAACTTCTTTTTTTATAATATAAAGAAGGAGTTAAAACGTCTTTACATTATAAATTTAATATACTAATTGTTTCATACTTTTAACGCTCTTTATACTTTTATGACAAATTTCGGTAATACTGAAAAAGACTAGTGGTGCATGTCTTAGAACTAAGATTCGATGACGATTGCATGCAATTTTGCATAAACATAGACACATATGTAAAGGATATGGTAGAAATATTCGCCGCACGTCCGCAAAGGGTTATCTTACGATTATCATAATTTTATCTCACCTTTCACTTTACACTTTATTTCATATTTTGAACTCATTCTTAACTTTATACTTTTAAGAGACCAATTGTTTCATACTGTCAAGTCATGCTTTGTTTCATACTTTTAACGTACTCTTTACTTTATACTTCACTTCACACTTATAACTCATACTTTATTTCAAATTTTTAACTCCTTCGTATTAATTTTATACTTTTAACCCATCCTTTACTTTATTCATTGAACATACCAATTGTTTCATACTTTCAACTCATTTTTTGTCTCATACTTTTAATGCACTCTTTACGTAATACTTTACTTCACACTTATAACTCATCCTTTATTTCACATTTTTAACTACTTTAATTTATACTTGTAACGTACTATTTTTTTTTCATACTTTCAAGTAATCCTCAGTTTCATACTTTTAATGCACTCTTTACTTCGTACTTTTAACCCATCCTTTACTTTATACATTTAACATACCAATTGTTTCATACTTTCAACTTATCCTTTGTTTCATACTTTTAACGCACTCTTTACGTTATACTTTACATCACACTTATAACTCATACTTTATTTCACATTTTTAACTCCTTCTTTACTTTATACTTGTAACATACCATTTTCCTCATACTATAAAGTATTCCTTAGTTTCATACTTTTAATGCACTCTTTACATCATACTTTTAACCCATCCTTTACGCTATACATTTAACATGCCAATTGTTTCATACTTTCAACTCATCCTTTGTTTCATACTTTTAACGCACTCTTTACGTTATACTTTACTTCACATTTTGAACTCCTTCTTTACTTTATACTTGTAACATACCAAGTGATTCATACTTTCACGTAATCCTTTATTTCATACTTTTAACGCACTCTTTACTTCATACTTTTAACTTTTTAGCTTTATACTTTTAATAAACCAATTGTTTTACACTCTTAACATACCATTTATTACACACCATTTAACTCACCCTTTTTATACTTATTTATGTACAATACAAACATTACATCTTTCAAAGCTTTAATGCACGTACTTTCCGGGAGTTTAATTAATTGAAAACTGTAGGGGTGCAAAACTTTTAGATTACTTTACTCGCTCTCTTTTTCTTCTCCTCTCTAACATACATAAATACGTTTATTCTTCTCTCCTTCCATTTTTTTAACTTCTTGAGTATACATCTTTTGTATTCTTTTGAGGCTTCTCGAACAGTCCGTGAATAATAATAAAGGAACGCCGTTAGTTCTTCCCAACTTGAAAACCAGAGAAAAACTTGCATCGCACTTTGCATTTGGTTATATTCGATACTACATGATCTGTGCTATTAAGTATACTCAACCATGTGTATTAAGTATACAAATTGAGAAAACCATAGCAAAGAATTGCAAGGAAGAAAATCGCATAATGTTAAATGTAAGTTTACTTTAATATTAAGCAGTTTCTTATTAAGTTTCTCTATGAATATAATAAAAATAAAAGTTTTTTTTTAGTTTCTTGTATAATTAATCAACAAAATCAACAAAAATTATCATCTTTACTAAAAAAATAAATCTAAAAGTTTTGTTGATTTTAATCTTCTTGTAAAAATATATTAATTATAACTTTTCTTGTTTTTTTTGTGATTAATTTTAGTTGAAAATTTAATGAAGTTATTCCAAATTTGTTACACCTCAACGAACGGTAGAAACCGCAAAGAATTGCGAGATTGTAAAAATAAAACTCGTCGTTAATCACGGCTATTTTCATCTTTCCATCAAAAATAGACCTCGAGGCAGGAACTAAGAGCAACGAGCAGATTGAACGCTAAGACTTCTTCAAAAAAGAATAAATAAGAAAAAAAATACAATTAAAAAATTTCAACGAAACTTTTATAATTTTAAATATTCAATTGAAACAATAAATAAAATAGACTAAAAATAAGCAAATGTAATAAAATAGACTAAAAACACTTTCGTTTTTACGATTATTTATTTACCTACTTGTTTTATTTACTTTGAGATGAACGCAATTTCAAGAAGAAAATATTTGCAAAATCTTTCGACGCATCTCGTTTATTTTGTTTCAGTATTAACAAATTTATTTTAAGTATAATTTTCAATAAAATTTTTAATTTCGACATGAAACAGATATTTAAATATAATCAGACTTTAAGTCATTTACTTCTGTTGTTAAAAATTCTAATATTTATACAATTACAGAATAACTACAAATGATAATTACATAATCAAATATGTATATTAAAGATAAAACTATGGCCTTTCCAATGAGTCTATTAGCATTTTTATGATATTTATAGTTTATCTGCAATAAGCTTTTATTTATATTTGGATTAAAAAAAAAACAAACAAGTATGTCTAATCTATAACCTAACCTAAAATTGACAACTGTCATCTGTCAATTTTCACTTGTCAAATGTCACTTGTCAATTGAAACTTGTCAAATAATACAAATAGATAAAACTATGGCCTTTCGAATGAGCCTATTAAAATTTTTGTTAATTTTAACTACAATTTTTTATAAATTATTATTTAATAATTTTAAATTATTAAAAGTTTGTATATATTTTATAATTAAATAATGAATAGTTTTCAAATACGCATCTTTTAATTACTAAATTATGATTTTTTTTAAATTTATTTAATGACGTTTTCACGTTTTATTTTATTAGTCAATAACTGCTTATGCTAATTCGATCATTTATTAATAAAATTAAAGATAAAACTATCCCCTAAAAACTGTTACTTAATCTTAATTAATTACTAAATTATGATAATTTTTCGATTTCTTTAGTCACGTCTTTACGTTTTATCTGATTTTTGGATAAACACCTACACTAATTTGATCAAATTAAAGATAAAACTTTCTAATAAACTGAATTTGTGAAACGAGTACTAACTATAATTAAGCCATTATCAGTAATAAAACTTTATAAGCTATTCGATTAACTCTGCACTACTTTTACCGATATTGCTAATTCTATGTAAACGTCAGCAGAGCAAACCAAACGTTATAAAGAAAGCAAATTTAAAACTGCTATCGTAATTAGATCCGAGAATGAAGGAATTGCGAAATTAGGGAAAAAAAACGATGCCGTTAAAAGCATTTCGTCGTCTTCAAATTTTTAACAGGAATATTAGATTAGCAGTGAAAATGTGATAGCTCCATTATAGAAAGTTAATACACTTCGGAAAGAGGAATTGCATTACACTCGAATCAAACTTCTTGTGTTCAAGTTACTTTTCAAACAAATTTCAAACAAGATTTTATAAATCTATATATTTTTTTTCAGTTTCATCTTTGTAAATAATAAGGAATAAATGAATAGAAAATGTTTCTTGAACGAGATAAAATATTGGAAAATTCGATTCATTTAGGTTCAAAAATAAGGAAAAATTAACGGAAAATTTATTTTGTTCAAGTTCAAAAATAAAATATGGAAAAATTAATAGAAAATGTGGTTTATTTGTGCAAAAAAATTTACTGAAAATTTGGTTATGTTAACAAAATAAAGAAAAAAATATACAATAAATGTAGTTTAAATAAGTTTATAAATGAAAGAAAATTGGATGGAAAATTCAGTTTATTAAAGTTAAAAATATAACAGGGAAAATGTACAGAAAATAGAATAATTTAAGTTATGAGAACAAAATTGTAAGTGGTCGTTATATGCGTTTGCATAGCAAAACAGGAGGAAGTAAAACGATATAAATATGAAGGAAAATAACATCTAGTTGATAACGTCGACTTATTTACCTTTAATATCCACTTTCCGTGCACTCAGCGAATTGCCTGCAAACAAAAAATAAACAATACTTTAATTCATTTAAAATGCATTAATAAATATTATTAACCATACATATTTTCTAGGCTAATGAGCGTAGATTTACATGTGATAATTATTGTGTAAATATTTAATTGTTTTTTTTTAGAATCCATGCTTAATTGGTATACTGTCCTAAAAACACGTGATATTTGACAGCTAATTTGTCTTTATGTTTGACATATGTCAAATAATACAAGCAGTTTGACAACTAGTCAAACATCGCGTACAAGAATACGATTTCTTCTATATTCCGCACTGTTTGAGACCGGACTAATCGAGTACTTTAAAAGGATTCAGGTTATTTTGAGATGTTTTAATAATACTATAGTAAATCCGCACTATCCGCATCTATAACCTAACATTAAGTACACTGATCCAAATATACGTGATTTGTAACAAGGAATTTATCTTGTTTGTCCTTGACATATGTCACATGTTGCAAATATTTGACAACTTGTCAAACACCACGTATTGTGTGTGTCCACTTCTACGTACATGAATACCTTGTATAGAGCGGGTTATCGATTTTTCCTATATCCTGCACTGTTTGAAATTGCACTAATTGAGTACTTTAAAATTGCATAAAAAAGATTTAGTTTGTTTTGAAGTTTTTTTTTTACATTAAATCCGCACTAATTGAAGCCGCATTATGCTGTATTGCTGTGTTTGGATTTGAAACACAAACAAGTATGTCTAATTTATAACCTAACCTAAAAATACGTGATATATGACAAGTAACTTATGTAGTATTTATCTTTGACATATGTCAAATAATACAAATATTTGACAACTTGTCAAACATCGCATATTATGTGTCCTAACCTAACCTCTAATTCACATATGTACTTTAAAATCTCCTTATGGGTATTTCGAAATACCTCAAGGATCAATACTAGATCAAACTCAATACTAATATTAAAATTTCCTCTTTAATAACATTTGCATTTACATTATTGAACATCAATGGAATCACTTCGTTGTGAATTATACGAAATTGAATGATGCAAAATCGCATTTAATTTTCGTAATTTCCAATTGAATTTCGCGTCGCGTTTTAATTCCTCTTTTTTTTGCTCTCTTTGTGGACATTTCACTGCAATCCACGCAGATTTCGCGATCGAATTAAGCTCTCTCAATGTAGCCGCCTTAATCCCATCTCTCAGTCCGGAGATCAACAATTAAAATACTCGGTTGGAACGGAACTTTCGTCGAACAAATGTTTTTTAATTGAATCCTCTGCTCGATTCCTCCTCGTAATTTCGTCAGAGTCTGTTAGTTTTAAGTCGAATAAACTGTCCTAATCCGAAGAAGTGTTAAGCGATTTAATTAATAAGCTTTAATGATGTAAACAGATGAGAAAAATATATATAGTGCATATTTGATCGATCCATTGGGATTTGTTGTGATTATAGGTGGATTAGTGTATAATCCGGATTACTGAATGTTGATCAAACGAAATATTTGGAATATTCGGCTTTGAATTTGCATAGTAGTTATATTCGATAACTTTAAATCAATATAAAAAACGAGCGCAGAAAGCATTCATGTCAAGTGTCATCTGTCAACGATCACCTGTCAAATGTCACTTGTCAACTGATACCTTCCTATTCAAGTTTTTTGTTTACATGTTTTACATGCATAGCTTAACTTAAGTAAGGTACGTTGTCAAACCATTGCGTATTCAATAAACTATCATCAAAATTCCATCTTTTTAAATGTGTATTTATGAATGTTGAGCATCAGAAATGCAAATTTTCTGTCGAAAAATATGCATTATTATTATAAAACATGTGTCAACTGTCAACTTTCACCTGTCAAATGTTACCTGTCATTTGATACCTTCCTATCCGTGTACCATGTTCTTATACAGGCATTACTCAGTTGACCATTTGTAAACATCTACTTACATTGACCATCTACATACATTGCTTAACTTTTGCAAATTGTCAAACCATTACGTATTCAATAAATTATCAACAAAATTGCAACTTTTAAAATATGGATTTTGTGAATGTTCAACATCGTAAATGCTTGTTTTGCAAGGAAGTAATGAGTGCAGAAAATTATGTCAACTGTCATCTGTTAACTTTCACTTGAAAAATGTCACCTGTCAACTGAAACTTTTCAAAAGCCACCTGTCATCTGATACCTTTCTATCCTGCTACCATTTTATATGTATTACTCCACTTTTGTAAGTCGTCAATTTTTAAAGATCATCTACTTACATTGCTTAACTTTTGAAACTTTTCAAACCAATACGTATTCAAAAATTATCAACAAAATTCGAGCGCAGAAAATATCAATTATTATTATTATAAAAAGTATGTCAATTGTCAACTTTCACCTGTTCAATGTCACTTGTCAACTGAAACTTTTCAAATATCACCTGTCATTTGATGTAAAATGTTCAATGTTCTTATACAGACATTACTCAACCTTTGGAACTTGTCCATTTGTAAATTTCATCTACATACATTTCTTAACTTTTGTAAATTATCAAATCATTACGTATTCAATAAGTTATCTACAAAATTCGAACTTTTTTAAAATTATTGACTTGATTCGCATTTAAATAATTAGTGCAGAATATACACATTTTAATTATTATGAAAAGTAAGATAACTGTCAAATGTCACCTGTCAACTGAAACCTGTCATCTGCCTGTCCAGCTACCATCTTTGACATACATTACTCAACTATTACAAGCTGTCAAACTGTAAAAATAATCTACACCCTTTTGTAAGTTGTCAAACCATTAAGTATTCAATAAATTATCAACAAAATTCCGTGATTAAAAATATGTATTTTGTAAATGTTGAGCATAGAAAATGCAAATTGGTTTTCTGTCGAAAAATATGATTTAATTGTTGACTTGATTCACATGTACTAAATAAGCGCAGAAAATATAAATTATTATTATAAAAAGTATGTCAACTGTCAACTTTCACCTGTCCAATGTCACTTGTCAACTGAAACTTTTCAAATGTCACCTGTCATTTGATACCTGCATATCAGTGTACAATGTTCTTATACAGCCATTACTCAACCTTTGGAACTTGTCCATTTGTAAAAATCATCTACATACATTTCTTAACTTTTGTAAATTATCAAATCATTACGTATTCAATAAGTTATCAACAAAATTCGAACTTTTTATTAAATTATTGACTTGATTCGCATTTAAATAATGAGTGCAGAATATACACATTTTAATTATTATGAAAAGTATGATAACTATCATATGTCACCTGTCAACTGAAACTTGTCAATTGACACATGTCATCTGATACCTTCCTATACAGCTACCATCTTTGACATACATTACTCAACTATTACAACTACATACTTTTGTAAGTTGTCAAACCATTAAGTATTCAATAAATTATCAACAAAATTCCATGTTTTAAAATATGTATTTTGTGAATGTTGAGCATCAGAAATGCAAATTGGTTTTCTGTCGGAAAATATGATTAAATTATTGACTTGATTTTGCAAGTCAGAAGGCATATCGCTTTGCGAGTATCGGAACACAAAGTTTGGATTATTTAAATGCAATTTGCTTTCAGGCATCGAAATAAGCAAAGATGGAAAACGCGCTGAAAAAAAAAGAGGAGGTTGGGTAGGATGGAAACCGGCAACGGGAAATTAATTTAAATGCATTGGGGAAAAGTTTCGCTCCGTCGAAGTATTTTAATTTCAGATTTCTTCGGTATATATACGGGAATGCAATAGCCATTTCGAATATTTTAGCGGTAATAGAAAATGGGACACAAATACGAGGGAACAAAGAAAAAAAAATAAGAAAATTGTACGTGACAATGAGCGAAGTGCCGGATTAATGCCATAAATTACTGCAGTATCAATGACACGAATTTCAATCAAAGAAAATTCATTCATTTCAATTTCTTTTAAGTGGAAATTCTTTTATTTTGTTTAGATTTTCAGCGAAAGAAGAAATGTTAATTGAATATTTGACATTTGTGTAATTTAAATTTTTAATTATGTTTTCTTTTTTTGTAAATTGACGTTTTATTTGGAAAAGTTCAGTATTTCCTTAAAGATTATTAATTTTTAGAAAAATTTTTGTTTATAAATAATCTGAAAATAGATCATGTTTTTACATTAAAATTGTAGACTAAACCATTAAACACAAAGCAAAACAATCTTTCAACTTGCAAATGTTTATTGAAATTTGTATATTCTTACTTTTATTACCTCAAAAAACAAAGAAAAAAAGTTTTCCAAATACAACCATTCGTAAATCCTAAAAAATCTTAATTATTTTGATTATTTTGATTATAAGCTCCAAATGTCAAAATTTTGACAGTTTGTAGTTCTGAAATTTAAATTATATGACACATGTCAAGGTTACGTCAAAATTTGAAAACTTAATGAAATGATTAATAACATTTTACTTTTACATAAAAAGCAACTTTATTTAGACCAAAATGTACCTCGTTCTAAATTCAAACATTCATAATTACTAAAACAAAACTAATGACTTCAATGATAATCTCTAAATGTTAAAATTTTGACATATTATTGTAATCCAATTTAAATTATATGACAGATGTCAAAGTGACTTCAAAATTATAAAAGAAGATAATCACCATTACATAAGTACTTTATTTAATGAAATGACCAATATTGTCAAAATAAATGTCAAATTTTTGACAGATTGCTGCAATCCAATTTAAATTATATGACAGATGTCAAGTTACTTCAAAATTATAATAAAACATAATCACCATTACATAAGTACTTTATCTAACGAAATGACCAATATTAAGGAAAGTAACAATTTACTTTTTTTCAAAGGAAAAAATATTTTATTTCTTTCATATGAAGTTGAAAAATTGAATTATACAAAAAAGTAGTTGCCAAATTTATTTCCATGTTGAACCATTAATAATTACTAAATAAATCTTAATTACTTGACAACGTCCAAATGTCAAAATTTTGACAT